TCTTGACCAAACGCTGCTAATTCTCCTTTGCCAGCACTTATCCATCAAGCACTTTAAACTCGAGCACTTTAATACTATCAAGCCCCATCACAGCACTTTAGTTAACGCTAGTTAGCGTGATAGTTTAGTGCACTTTAACAACTGTGACTTTAACAACTAGCACTTTAATACCTGCTACCACTTTGTATTCCAGTGACCTATACCAACGCTGTACCAACACTGCTCACCTATGTCGCCTTTCATTCCTTGGTACCTACTGACAGTATTACTGGTGGTTTGTGAAGAGAATGGAAGGTGGAGCGGGTGGGAGGAGAAAGATTGGAATGAAGTAGCATGGCAAAAGGGGAAATTAACACAGCGAACAATCTGGATTAAAACATGGGATGAAGTTATGAACTCGAAGTGCAATATGGAAGAAGAGAGGTATTCCACTGGCCGAGGGGTCCCCATAGAAACCATAACGGGGAGGGGGAGATGCAGGAAAGGGAGACCGCCAATTCGGCCTAGAGATAGTGAAAACTTAACAACCCAAATTCGGCCTAGCTTTTTTTGCCGCCACATCACATTGCTGGCTCATCTATGGAATTCCTTGCATCTACCCAGCTTGTAACTCTAAGAGATCAGATTAGTCTGGCACGACTTGTTTTTGATAAATCCATGTTGACTATTAGCAATGACCACATATGTTTCTAAGTGTTTGCAGACCACTTCCTTAACAATCTTTTCCAGGATCTTGCCTGGTATTGACGTGCGGCTGACTGGATGGCCTCCTTTTTAAACACTGATGGACTAATATGGCTCTTTTTTTCAACACAATTATAGTGATCTGTACCATTTTAGTTGCCATGGTACCACCCTATGGGATCCTGGGAATTGTAGTGTGGTGAAATATTTAGAATGTTTTGTCTGAGAGCTCTGATATTTCACCAAACTACAAATCCCAAGATCACACAGAATGTAGCCAGGGCAGTTCAAATGTTTTCAAAAGCCAATTATTGTTTAGTGTGGAAGAGCCGGCATACCTGCTTAGCTTCAAGTCTATCACATACTTTCTGAACACGGTGCAGTAATGTATCGATTCTACATACTTTAAAACTTTTGCAACTAGGGTCTGAAAATGTTGTGCTATACTTATGGAGGATTTTAATGACATTTACAAAGTTGCAAGTTCTGGTGTGAAACTTTGTAACTACTGATACAGCAACTAACTTTAAAAAGTTTATGAACTTCCAAGATTTATTGGAAGTTGATAAACTTTTAAAGTTAGTTGCTATAATGCACAACCACAACAACTCTCTCAGGTTTTGATTAGGAAGAGCTCACAAAAAGATAATTCACAGAGAGTCTTGGGAATTGTAGTTGGTAAGGATTATGTTAATTTTATATCATTTCTTTCTCCTTTCCTTCAATAAGATAGACTTTTGTAACTATTCCCACAAGTAAGATATAAAGACAACAACAGGGATCTTTTATGAGGAAAAGGTTACTATTCCCGAATAGCAGCAGCTTGTAGTTTTGTTAGCTGCTCATTAATTAGCGATTTGCTCCTACATGCATACCAAATGCATACCAGTGGCACCTCTTCTCTCATTTATTATTTACTTTTACTACTGTTGCAAGACTTTTTCCCCTAGAGATCCCAGTACAGCTTCTTGTGGTGTGAAATCCAGGTGAAATACAAGTAACTCATTATTGTATCAATGTCTTACACCTCCTTCACTGCTCCTTGGTGGCCTAGACATATTCTCAGTTCTTCGGCTGGCCGCAGTTTCTAGTCTATGTATTTCCAGACACATTCAAATTCCACATGAATTATTTCTAGTTACCTTAGAAACCTGATTTGAGCTCCTAGTCCAAAATCTCTTTTGTAATCAATCTGTTGCATTTGGTGAGATCTTAAAAAAACAAAACATTTTCTATATACTAAAGACTCCGGAAGAAATCAGAAAATTATATGGAAACCTTTCATGGTTCCAATACAGACAGTTGAATGAGGCCTTTAATAAGGATAAGAAATTAGGATTCAAGGAAGGAGATAAATTATGGGAGAAGATAATGCTGTTAGTGACAAAAGTGATCACTAAAATATACAAAGCTCTTTTAACAACTGAGAAGAATCAAATAAAAGACTGTATGACCAAGTGGGCAGCAAATATTGGACACACTATAAGATACAAAGATTGGGAAAAATATGGAATGACAAAATAAAATAACCAATTCATACGATCTACATGAAAATTGGATTAAGATGATGTACCAGTGGTATATCAAACCAAATAAATTGGTGAAACGTTGCAAGACTCTTATTTATTTATTATTTATGACATTTAATATACCTCCCTCCCCTTTTTTCTTCCTTTCCTTCCTCTTTTTTAATTCTCTCTTTCCCTTTCTGTTCTTTCTCTCCACTTCTCTCTTTTCCATCTCTTTCTCCATCTCTTCCCCTGGGTGGTGGTAGCTCTTTAATTTTCATTGTATACTCACTATGTATCCTATTTTATTTTAGTTAATCAAATTTTGAAATACCCAGTTTGTGTACCCCCATTTTATCCCTTAATAAAATATAAATTAAAAAATCTGTTGCACTTGGTCATGACAACAGTATAGCCTTATGTGTTTGAGGAATATGCATGCCTTCTGATTTCTTCAGGGTTCCTACACCTTCAAAGATCATTACAAATTGAGGCCACATGCCTCGACACGGTTCCTCTGTGCTTTAAAAACAGTATGACAAGCATATAGTCACACAGAACAATTACAGAGCAAGGGCTGGTAAAGTGAACCCACCAGATGTTATTGAATTGCAAATCCCATCTGGTCTAGCCAGCCCAGCCAATGAGGAGGAATGCTGGGAGTTGCAGGTCAATAAGATCTAAAAGATGACTGCTGCAGAGGAAAAGCCAGTGAAGGCTAGTGTTATAAAGCCCTGGCACTTTAGCACTACTCTTTTGATCTGCACAGTGCAGCAAAGTGTTCCAAATAATGCCTCTCTTCTGTCTCAGGCTCTATGTTTGTCATTGTGCTGCTGCTGTTCCTAAATTGCCTCTGATCATTTAAATTCAAATAAAGCCTTCCTAATAATAACAATGTGCTTCTTTCCAGTGCCACTGCTCTGAACCCTTCCAAGTATTACTTGGGATGGAAGCACCAACAAACCAATGTCTTACTGGGCATAAAGTCAAGGGAGTGCACTTTCTTTTGACTCTAGAGGCATGAGAATTTATAAAAGATTTATATAAGTGCTAAAAAGATATCTCATAACAGATTAAGTTAAACTTATCAGTAATTCAGCTGAATCAATCCTTATGTAATAGAATAAAAAGGTAAGATGAAAATATAGAAATATTAATGATATATGAGTTTAGCTAATGAAGAGATAACTGGATGTGAAATATGTTTTCTTGCTCAACCAACTGGGCAAATATGTTTTGCTTGGTTCCACTTTAACAATGAAAAATACAGTGATACCTTGACTTCAGAGCTTAATTTGTTTTGTGACCAAGCTCTTAACTTAAGACACTCTTATGTCAAGATGAATTTTCCCATTGAAACGCTTTGAAATGCTATTCATTCATTCTGGCCTCCGAACCCTCCCCCCATTTTTGTTATGTGTTTTTAAATAAGAAAATGAACTTTATAAATAACAAATAACATATAAATGCATATGCACATGCAACAATAAAAAAGAAAGATCAACTTTAAAATGGTAGAAGCACAAAGTTGCACAAACTTGTGTCATGGAAGCACAAAGTGAAGTGGCAGAAGCATCATTCTCTTCATACTGTATTCATTCCAACCTCCCTCCCTTGCACTTTCTCCCTCTCTCTCTTCATGAAGCTAAGCATACCAGAAATAAAAACCACAGACAATCAATTAACCCAAAGTTCCTCAAAGTGGACAAGAGCACAAGGCACAGAAGTACGGGGGCACAAGGCCCAGAGGCATGAGGCACCGAGGCTGCTCCCTTGAAACCCTAAAAACCTGTAGTCTTCTGTTTGTCCTCCCTCTGGCGCTAATTCTTAACTCAAAATGCTGCTCTTATGTCAAAGTGAAATCCAGGCTGAAAGATGCCTCTTAACTCATAACACTCTTAAGCTGGGATGCTATTAAGTAGAGGTTCCACTGTACAATACAGTAATAATGTATGAGCTTTATTGATTTAATAAATTTACACAATAATCAACAAGACATAAATGTTGGAATTTTTTTTAAAACTCACATAGCTAACTCAGATGAAAATTATTCACAGCCCAAATCCTTGCCAAAACTCTATCAATGTTTTCCTATAAAGAACTAAATCTGATAAACAAAGAATTGCTGGTAATTGGTTACAAAAGTCCAATAACCACACACAATAGCCCTTGCTAAGAAGAGATTGGAGAATGTCAGTGTGGTTCTTTTCCCAGACTGCATGCTAGAGATGTCAATAAGCAAAGATAAATTCCTCTGCTTCTCTAACCTTGCCCATCATGTATTGGGCATTTTCCTTTGAAGGTCATTGTCTGATTCTCCCACCCTACTTTTCACATCCATATTTCCAGTTACTTCTCTCTCAAATCAAACTGAATCTACCCGATCCCACCTGAAGCTAGTAAAATCTGTCTAACTCAGGAAGCTTTAGGAATCAGTCAAACTAGTTGAACAACCATATTCAGATTTTTGTGGCATGAATAAAAGCCATATATTTTAAATTGGGATCAATGTTATGTTATGAGATGTATCAACCATGCCACATATTTACTACAGCATTTCATAGAGCTTTGGCCAAAACAGGTATCTTCATGGGCTGGTTGTAAGCAAATACAATACATTTTTTTTAAAAAAAAATATTTATATTATCTATTAAATGTAATATGCGAACGGAGAATGTCTTTAATTTCATGAGATATCAGAAATAATAGTTATTTCAAAACAGAAAAGGGTGGACTACATTTTTTTGGGGGGGGGGGGCAACAGACAAGATACTTCCATTGCTCAATGCAAAGAACATTCACAGAAATGAACAGTGAATGGCAACTACAAAATCGTCAAGATTTAACTTCATCCTTGTTACCCTGGCTTTTTTTTTATTAAAGTAGGAAACTTTTCTCAGAAAGTTAAGCCTCTTTTTCTCATCTTCCTTATGTAATGATGCCCACTCATATTTTGCCAGCCACGAACTCCATCTGCTTCATGAATATGAGGCCATAATTAAAATATTGACAAGAGTTCCATATCTCAAAAAAGTGAATCTATCCAAACATATTTTGGTCCAGAAAATAAATAATTAAAGTAAAATAGCAAATTGGGAATTTACCATGCAGGTCCATTCTAGACAAAGAGAAGAAGCCATGGGTTAACTCCATTCACCATCCATGTAATGCAAGGGATCACATGTGGTCTTTGAAAGACCAGTATTTCTCACTGAATTTCTTGTTCCTCTTTTAGTGCATCCCAAAGCCATGAAAAGGGGCAAGAGCAATCCGAAAGGATGTTTTCAAAAAGGAAATTAGTCTTGCTACCTTAAGTGAGGCAGGAATATTTCTTCTCCTTGAATAGAATGGTCATTTCAATAAGTTCCCAATGTGCCACTGTCAGTCAGTATAGAAGAAGCCAGCCATAAAAGGGAATTACAGAACTAACAAAGCTTTCAAAATATTGTTATAAATGGCAGTTCCTAATTGGTTCTGTCATAAAAACATGGGAAAAGCTTATTTCACTGCAAAAACTTTGTCTTTGTGCAAGGGACATCGCCCTATAGCTCATTTTGGTTTGTTGAGTCTCCAACAATTTAACAAAGTTTCTGCCTCAAAAATAAAGTTTCTGGAGTAAAGACCACACAATGAAACAGGAAATAACACTTTCAAACCAGGAACAGATTTTCTTTATTATTAAACAAATGTTTTATAAAATTTGTCAAAAATCAGTGGAAAAATAAAATGTTCTGAAATGTGGTCAGCAAGCAGTGGTGAAATTTTGAAAGTTTTGTTAGAGTTCTGAAATTTTCACCACCAACACTTTAGAAACAAAGCACCAGTGCCCCCTAGTTTTGTAAGTACTTTAGAACCATTTAGAACCATGAATCGCACATGCTTCTCTCCCTCCCTCCCTTTCGCTCCCTCTCTCTCTCCATATATATATGTGTGTGTGTGTGTGTGTGTGTGTGTGTGTGTGTGTGTGTGTGTATGTGTGTGTGTGTGTGTGTGTGTGTGTGTATATATATATATATATGTATATATATATGTATATGTATATGTATTTCGTAACTCAACATCAATAAAATGCTTTACTACAGAAAGACACCAGTTCTTTTGTTATTCCTCCCACAATGATCAGGGAGTAGCAACAATACAGTCATGGTATTGAATAAACACACGCTTTCTTAAGACATTTTAGTGACAACAATGTTGTAAAGATAACAATGCTAATTACTGCCAACAGCTTGGAGGACTATGGTTGTATAACCTTGCTTTTTGCAGTCCCACTAATTACTTGTCATTCTCTTAAAACAATGTAGAGAAAAAGTACTACAGTTTTTAGGGTTTCCTACTAGCAGAGTTCCAGTGCATGTGGTGGATGTATATTGAACAAACCTGTGTGCAAGGCTGGATGTAACAGCTAGAGGGTACAAGGTCAGAGTCATACCAAGATCACTGATGGCCAAGTTGATCATGAAGTATTCTGCTGGTTTCAATAGATTCTTTTTCTTGTATGAAACATAGAGGAGGATACTGTTCCCACAAAAAGAGCATATGCCTGGAGGATAAAATACAATAAAGTAATTGTTTGTTGTTGTGATCTGATTAATGGTAACCCTAAAGTAAATTTATCATGGGGTTCTTTTTAATCTGAAAATGATTCATCAAAGATCACTGAGAGGACTTCTATAGCCAAACATGGATTTGATCCCTGTTTCTCAGAGTCCTAGTTGGGGTTGGCTCTCAAGTTAGCTGTACTCAGTCTCAATTATCACTTTGATTTTGCAGACAAGTAACATGCTGTCATTGACAGTAATTCTCATGGTGAAAACACTTTTGGACAATGTAAGGGAATGACTAATGCTAATTTTCTTTATGCATTTTGCAAAAACGATTACTCCTAAGTCCTTGTGGCATGGTTTCCAAGTTGTTCTTTCTTCTCTAGTGCCAGGTTATTTTTATCGCCCTTGTCTCCAAATTGGCCAGGCACTCTGAAAATCATTAAGAGAGAAGAACTACATATATTATCCTATATTATCATTTCCAACTTCTCTATAGGGACAATAAGCAGATTAGATAGATAAAGAAAAGTCACATAGAAATCTCTGAAATAAATAAATATAAATAATTGTCTCTATAAGTTGGAGATGATAGAATATTTCAATATGGAAATAAGGGTGCATTAATGTGCACCCAATTTAGTTGAAGTTAAGCTGACTGAGACTTCAGCCCACTCCACTAGACACTGATGAGCAATCCAAGCCTCTTACACAATATCAAATGTCTCAAGCCAATGAGCTCCAAGCCCCTTGTCTTCTGAAAATTTTCAACCACATTTTGCATAGAGCTACACCATAGACCTCATGGACTAACAATGAAACACTACATTCCTAAATTCCCCTTCCATTCTGCATGACAAGAAGCAAGTTTAAGAAACAATTTAGAGGGCAGAAATCACACTGGAAAAAGGGCAAACCAAGAGCCTTCTCAGCGGCCTTCTGGTTATTAATTTTGGAGTTCTGTGTTTCTCTTTATTTTAAGAAAAACATACCCACTCCAAGAAATCCCATTTGATCCCTGGAAAATTACAATCCCGGATACTCATAACTCCATATTACTTTTATTTATTTATTTTTTATTTAGAATATTTCTATCCCACCTTTCTCTGCAACATGGACCCAAGGCAGCTTACAGAATACAAACATTAAAATCTTTCAACCAGGAGAACAAAATAGATAAAACTATGACAAAACAACAATCAATAAAATCCCACATTTCAGTTAAAACCATAACCTCCTCCCCCATGTATCCCTCCTCCATCTCGATCATAAAATCCCCAACTCCTGTCATGACTCAATTAAAGGCCTTGTTAAATAAGAAAGTCTTGACTCCCTTCTTAAAGATGAGCAAAGATGGTGCAGCCCTTCGTTCTTCAGGGAGGAAGTTCCAGAGGGCTGGAGCTGCACCCGAGAAGGAACCCTTGCTAGTTATGTGTAAACACATTCTGGTGGGGGCTTGAGTATTGATTAGAACTTCCCCACTTGATCTAAATTTGCATCCTGGGATGTATCAGGGGACACGGTGGTTCAGAAAGGCTGGATTGAAGCTGTATAGGGATTTATAGGTGAAGACCAGCATCTTGAGTTGAGTCCGGAACTGGACATATAACCAATGGAGCTGCTTCAGGATAGGCGTAGTATGTTCCCTGAAGTTAGCACCCATCAGAAGTCTGGCCACTGCTCTCTGAACGAATTGCAATTTCCAGATGTTCTTCAAGGGCAGACCTACACAGTGCATGCTGCAATAATCCAATCTGGATGTAACAAATGCCTGCACTACTGAGGCCAGGTCCAGAGTCTCCAGGAACAGACACAGTTGGTGCACAAGCTTTAGTTGTGCAAAGGCCAACCTAATCACCGCTGCCATCTGGGCTTCCAGGTTTAAAGAGGAGTCTAGGATGATCCCCAAACTGCACACCTGGGATTTTAGGGGATTACAACCCATCCAGCTCAGGTTGAAATGCCATTCCTGAATCCCTCCTCCAAGACACCAGTAGTACCTCTGTCTTGTCTGAATTGAGCTTCCACTTATTCACCCTACTTTTAATTTGCAGTTCTCTCGAGGCCCATCTAATCAAACACCTAAATTCAGGGATGGTCCAAAACATTGCTTCTTCACACTGGCCCTGGATTCTTCAGATATGTTTTCACACTTTGCTCCTAAGTAGCAGAAGCAGAACCCAACCATCCAGCTGGGCCAAACCTGGTTTAGGCTACTGGACAGTCACTTTAACTTTTCCATAATTTGTAGCAATGGCACCAACTATGGAGCTCCTGAGAGCTCTGCCCATTACTATTGCTGATGTCAGAAAAGATGCCAGCATAAACTGTGGAATGGAGGGGCAATCATGTGGGCACTTGACATCAGCAAAGATGCCCACATGACCTTGCTGCCCACATGACATCAGCAAAGGAGTCCAGCGATGGCCAGGGGTTCTTCAGAGTTCTGTGGCCACAATGTCAGACAACAGGAAAGGTAAGTCCCATTACCTTTTCCTCTATATTGCAGATCAAAGGGAAAATTGAGTGGCAACATTGGCTTGTGTGAACATTTGGACTGGTTGGTATTAGAACCAGCCCTACCATTTCTATACCAATTCTAAAGAGTGAGGCTGCTCCAGAGCATTCCTTGATTTCTGTTAACATGTTAGGGGTCAGAAGTCTCTGAACATCATGTGAACATTCAGGAGCCATTTTGGACTGATTTCAAAATATGTGGTCCATGTCAATTCCCTTAGATATATCAGAATTTCAGTAGGCACAGATATATTTAGGATAAATTATAAATTCTACTAGCCATTGTTAAGAAACAGTGAGTTAGACTCTGCTAGCTGGATATTCCCCAGATATGTTGGGCTCTAACTCCCAATATCCCCAACTAGCAATATATGGGCCAATATATCCAAGAAATTCCTAGTTGAAGAAAAACAAAATAATATTCCTGCTGAATGTTACTTTTGGTTTCTTATCAAAACATCACTTTTAGTTCAACTTCCTACTAGAGATTCTGTTTCATTTATGGCCTTAATGATTCAAGACCGGTGGAAGGTAGCTTTGACCTTCCAGATAGTTTAGCCTACAAAGCCCACCAGCCCCTATCCAATACAGCCAACAAGAAAGGTATATGTGAGTTGAAGCCCAAAACATCTGGAAAGCCTTTTTTTACTCCAGTTCAGAGTCTATCTGGGGAGAAAATACGTTGAATCTGAACTACTCCACACATCAGGCATAATTATGATCATTCTAGCACACTTCAATTGAAAAGGCGTTCTTTTAGTCCCACAAAAATCTTCCAACACGTTATTAACAAATATTTTGTGAATGCAGATTGATTGATAATGCGAAGCCAGCATAACAAAGAATCCGATTATTGTGAATGGTGAAGAAGTTAGTATATGCAATTTAGTCACTCTTGCTTGGCTTCTCCTGCCTGAAGAAGTTACTAAACTTACTAGGAATTGAAACTGGGTTTGTTGGCCTCTTCCAAGCCAACATCACAAACTTGGTATAGTACGTTTTTGTTTATGATCCTGTTGTTTTTTTTTTAAAGCACAAGTTAGAAATGTTGATCCAAATGAGAGCAAACAGCCTGGATGGAATTGGGGCTTATCCTTGTGTGCTAACCCACTGGCCAGTGGCCACACACATTGTTCCGAACTGAGCAGATCAATAAGAGAACATCATGTCTAGTTCAATGAAGGACAAAGTGGTTGAAAACCATCACGTACATACAACCAACAGAGTGCATATTATGCTGTGGAATTTGAAATATAATCAACATCATATGAAGAGAATCTTTAACAACTCTGCTTACCAAATATAATATAAAAGACGCCAACAATAACATCTTCTGCTTCTGTTATTTTGGAATGAAATGTCGTATTTGCAGAGTAAAAGCCCATCTGGAAAAAACAGAGGTGTATTATTATGTGTTAGTGGCTTTCAATTTCAGCGACAATGTTTTCAGACACAAGGCTATTAATGCATTAGTTCAACACCTATGTTTTTCCTTCACATATTAATTTTAAAAGCTGGCTCAATTTTAAAAACTGAAGGTAGAAAGATATTTTAAAAACTCTTAAAATCAAAACAGTAAATAATGAACAACACTCAAAAACAGGGGAACACCAGACAAGAAACAATCAGGGCCAGCTAATCACCTCCCCAAAAAAGATTCCCCCAGCAGAAAGCAGCCAGACCTTGAAGCTGCAAGGCCATTAAATGCTAATCAAGGTGGCTAATTACAACATTCACACTTTCCTCAAACAGTCAACAGTTCTTTCTCCCACCCTGGACATTCCACTTGCTTAGTTTTCAACAAACCTCACAATCTCTGAGGATGCCTACCATAGATGCAGGCAAAACATCAGGAGAGAATGCTTCTGGAACATGGCCATACAGCCCGGAAAATTCACAGCAACCCAGTGATTCCGGCCATGAAAGCCTTCGACAATACAGCAGGTTTTATAATTGTTCTTCAATATAGCTATTTTTAAAATTAAAAATAAAATAAAAACCATCATTCACAAGAACTGTCTTACAGATGCCCATGTGCTGGACAAAATATTTGCCACAGGAATAAAACAGCATTGTGATTACCCTGCAGCACCCTCAATATTGGTTCTGGCCCAACTTATCTATCCGAACGTATCTCAGCCTATCAGCCCACCAGGACCCTAAGATCTTCTGGAGAGTCCCTGCTCTCTATCCCGCCGGCTTCACAAGTGCGGCTGGCGGGAACGAGAGACAGGGCCTTTTCTGTGGTGGCCCCTCGGCTTTGGAACACCCTCCCTTTAGAGGTACGATCAGCCTCCTCGCTGATGGTGTTTCGGAAGAGATTGAAAACATGGCTGTTTAAACAAGCATTCGGTTAAGCCGTGGCAATCGAATGTTGATGACTAAAGGACTGGTAATCATGGACGACGAATTTTGGATTGGGATTTGAGTTACGAGATGCATGGAATTATTATTGGTGGCCCAATAATTTGTATTGTATATGTGTTCTATGTTTTTAAATTGAATACTGTTTTTTAACTGTTGTAAACCGCAATGAGTCGCCGACTTAGGCTGAGATATTAGCGGTATACAAGCGTATAAAATAAATAAATAAATAAATAAATAAATAAATAAATATTAGCGGTATACAAGCGTATAAATAAATAAATAAATAAATAAAATATTTCTTCACATATCACCAGATTCATAAAGGCACCAGTAAGCAAATCTGGCAAGCAAGAGTTGGCTGGCCCTTAATGTTCAGTATATATAAGCCTTGGCCATAACAGCCTCATTTAATGTGTCTGGTAAAAGCAGTAAATCAGGATGGGAGTTAGGTGGAAAGTTGAACTCTTTTGAAGCACTGCAAATGCACCTCTGAATGTCTCAAGAATCAGTATCAAATTGTGACATAAACCTTTCCAACTTTATGAAGACTGGTCCCTCTTACCTTTTCAGTCTAATATTAGCAACTAGGTGCTACAGGGAAAAATCAAATTGCGGACTCTTGTGTTTTAAAATCAAATAGAAAGTGTAAATAGTACAAAATTACTTATTGTGAATACTGACCTAACCAACAACTTTTTACAGGGTTTATAGCTCAGATTTCACATGGTCTCACTGTAACATTTGTGTTATGTTACTATGGAAGGCTTATTCAAATGGAGAGTCATCAAGCTGCTTATGGTGGCAAAAATTAAATTAAATTAAAGATTCAATTGTACGCTGATAAGACTTAGTGAACCTGATTAACTCTGTCTTGACAATAGCTGACATCTCTTTGTGGTCTGTATTGTTTGCTGAGCTCTGCCATCAGAATTATGTTAGAAATGCCAGAACAGTAATATTCCGTGCACAGGGTGAACAGCCAAAATTTAAGGCGTACATGCCAGGCCCTGGTAACATCCTCATCAACAAGCAAATTCTTGATACATTCTGTACAAAACACATAGCGCACAGATAAGGATTACCACATATGGATTAGATATTGCTCATGCACTTTTGGTCATTGTCTGCTTAACTCTGATGCTTGGAATAAACTCAATCTCAACCAGTGCTGTGAATAGGTTGTATTGAAAGAAGTGCTGAATCCTGGTAGATCATTTGGACAAACTTCTTTTTTCTTTTTTTCTTTCTTTTTTTTTTTTTGGGGGGGGGGGGGGCTCTGTTAGTCTTTCCGCTCAGTTTCAAAGCTTGTTCCACCTCTGTATCCCAACTAGAGGATAGAGGAGGGCTGATTTTCAGACCTCCTCACAACATACATAGTACATGCTTAAAACGAGATGAAAAAGGACAACTGCAAGCATTCACGCTTTTTTTCCAATTATAATTCGGTCCTCCAACAATTTAATGGACTGTGACCTGGCCCTCTGTTTAAAAGGTTGAGGAACCCTGAATTAACACAACTAGCTGAAGTCCTTTCCAGTTCAAGAATGGAGAAAGTTTATCCCAAAGTCTTCATGTAGCCAGTTCTTCACAAAATTATTTTGTATTTCTCAGTTCTTGTGGGTTTTTTCGGGCTATATGGCCATGTTCTAGAGGCATTTCTCCTGACGTTTCGCCTGCATCTATGGCAAGCATCCTCAGAGGTGATGCTTGCCATAGATGCAGGCGAAACGTCAGGAGAAATGCCTCTAGAACATGGCCATATAGCCCGAAAAAACCCACAAGAACTGAGTGATTCCAGCCATGAAAGCCTTCGACAATTATTTTGTATTTATTTCCTGCTTTAGACAAAGATCTATCCTGGGCCTTCGGTGATCCAGGACTACGCATAAACACTGTATTTCAAATGAATCTGAAGCTATTGCAACTTTGGGATGCATTTCCAAAATATTATGGTTCTGCATTAGCTTCAGCACTTTTAAGGACTGACTCATGAGAACATCATTTGCCATTCTGCCTCAGGCAGCAAAATGTCCTTGGTAAAGCCTTGATTGTTGACATACAGATTATGTTTTGAATCATGCTTCTCTTCTGGTTAGGTCTTCCCAAAACATAAGACTAGTTGGGGGAGGGTGGAAAGAGGAACAGACCATGGAAGTATATTATAATCATGGCCAACAGAAAATACTGAAAGGGTTTGGTGGGCATTAACTTTGAATTTTGGAATTGTAGTTCATCCAGAGAACACTGTGGACTCAGACAATGATGGATCTGGACCAAACTTGACAGGAGTACTCAATATGCCCAAATGTGAACACAGATGGAGTTTTGGGGAAATAGACTTTGACATTTGGGAGTTGTAGTTGCTGGTATTTATAGTTCACCTACAATCAAAGAGAATTCTGAACCCCACCAATGATGGAATTGGGCCAAACACCACACAGAACCCCCATGACCAACAGAAAATACTGTGTTTTCTGGTGGTCTTTGGTGACCCTTCTGATACCCCCTTGACCCCCCCCCCCCCCCAGGTCTTGACTTCCCAGGTTGAGAAATGCTGCCTTAAGGCCATCCAGTCCAACTCCCTTCACCAAGGTAAGAAAACATAATCAAAGCCCTTCTGATAAAGGACCATCCAGCCATTCACACACACACACACATATGTATATGACAAATGCAGTATCAAAGATTTAAAGGAGACCCCTAAAGAAGGACAATGATATGTTGCATGTTCCAGAATAGGCAAACCAGACAATCTCCACATCAACACTGATAAACAAACAACCTCCCCTATCCATGGGGAAGACTTGCTTGTGGATATCAGAAACCATGGATAATAGCAATTGTTGTTGTTGTTGTTGTTGTTGTTGTTCCACTTTTATTTCTTGATTGAGACACAAACTGACTCACAACATTGAAACACAATTTTAAAAGTGTCTCTCCTTACATATAGGGAAACACAACCTGCCAAATAGCTTGAATCTGAGCAATATAGGGCCTTGTAGGTCATGTCTATCACACTGAATTGTTCCCAGAAGTCAGTGAAGTTACTGCAACAGGAGGGTTATATGCTCCCTGTAACCAGCCCTGGTTAACACTCTGGCCACAGCTCTCTAGACCTGCCTGTTTCTGAACACTCTTCAAAGGCAACCACAAATGGAGTACTCTACTGTAACATAAACAGGATGCAAGTAAGGCATGTCCCAGGGCCAGATCTCAAGGAAAGGGTGCAGCTGGTGCCAGGTTTTTAATGTGCAAAACGCTCCTGAAGACTGCAAAGCTGAGTTCAGGAGTAACCCCAAACCATTAATCTAAATCTCCAGGGAGAGTGTAACATGATATAACACTGGCTGAATTCTTATTTCCTGATTTGATGTTCAATGGACTAAGGACCTTGTCATATGGTCCTTAAGCCAGAGAACAATGGGGGAACCCATCAGGCAGCAAGGCAAATTGGCCAGGCAATGTGCATTAAGCGCCCTCATAACCACCACTGTTCTCAGGCCTCTGTCTTACAACATTGACAGGACAGAGCCCCACAAGAAGTAGCCCTGCGTCATCTCATGCGGGGTCTGTCCTGGAAGCATTATAGGATTGGGCGAAAGCCTCATGTGATGAAGTCGTATGAGCAATTCTGTTTTGTCTGGAGTACATTTCAATTTCTTTGCCCTATCCTGTCTATTATTTATAATAGACACTGGTTTAGAACCAGAACAGCTTTCTTGACTTTGGCTGGAAAGGAGTGGTAGAGTTGGGTGTCTTCCACATATAAATGGCATCACACTCCAAAAGTACAGCTGATCTCTCTTGGCAATTTCATGTATATTTTAAATAGCATAGGAGATAAAACAGAACCCTGAAGGACCCCGGATCAATGGTCAGGAGTGTGAACAGGAGTTCCCCTTCTGAGTTTGTCCCCCTAGGAAGGAACACTGCCGCTGTGAAACAGTGCCTCCAAATCACACTTCGGTGAGGTGTCCCAAAAGGATACCATGGTCAATGGTATCAAAAGCCACTATAT